GTCGATTATTAGCCTCGCGTTTGCGGCATGTTTCTAATGTATGACCGGGTATTTTACAATATCGGCACACTGGGTAATCAGTTCTGAACATAGAGGAAGACCCAGCTGAATTATTAAAAGGCCTCTCTCGCGTGGTTGTTTGGTTTTGTTGAAAATTACGACTAGTAAAGCGTCTTTGGTTTGAATCCTGGGTATTTGTTTGACTAAGGTGGCGTCGAGTCACCTGGAATATTTTTTCTTCAGACACGGCAAAATTAATAGCATCATTGAGCGTATCGGGATCGCGGCATCGAACTACTGTGGATAGACAAGGATTTAAGCCAACCACGAAAGTGTGTAACGCTAAGTCCTGCATTGCCGCGAGACGGCCTGCCAGTTCTCCCTTTTTTCTTGTATGTATTGATATATTTATTTCCGTTAACAATTTAGACAAACACGTCTCTATTCGCAGGGCGTACTGGTTGACCGTTTCATTATTGGATTGACGACATTCTTGTAGGTCTGAGAGCAGTGCAGCGTAATGTTTTCTGTCACCGAATTGGGATTTAAGAAAGTCTTCTAACTGTGACCAAGATTCAAATATTTTAATCGAGCAAGCACTTTCAGCGCGTCCTAATTGAATAAGTATGTATTTTAAAAGGTTGTCCCGTTGTTGATCTGACGCGAGATCGATGCTTGGTGTCGAAATAACCGGTGTAGGTTCGTCTTTAGGCATTGTGACGGACGAGGAATAGTCAAAACAAAGATAAGGTACTCGGCGTTTCGCGTGGGAGTAGTAGCGATAAGGCGTTGCACTGGTCTCGAATACAAGCAATGGCACACAATTAAAATACAACGTTTAAAAGGCACTTGATATACAAGGGATTATGTTAAAATGAATGAATGAAAGTGTAATTGAAATATTAATTAATTTTGTATTTATTATTATTATTTTTTTTTTGATTTGACTGTTTATATAAATTAGGTTATATATTTTGTAAAGTTTATAAAACATTCAGTATTATACACAACATTTGAGATTGTATCATTATAATTCCAGTAACATATTTTAATTGTATTATTATTATTATTATTTTGAATTGAGATGCTACATTTATCGATTTAGGTTTTTCCCTGTAATGGTAGATGTTAGTAGGAAATATAAATAAATAAATAAATATTCGTATAAAACTGGAGCAGACTTACGGGAACATGTCGGGTTTATGTACTTGTATTTTGATCAGGATTCAGGAACACGGCGACAGCGTAGAAAACAGCGGAAGTGTGCAGCACTGTTGACTTCGTAGACTCGGTTTGCGGATGATGAGCAGATGCTGGATGGTATTCTTCTTCTACTCTCTTTTCTTCTCTTTTTTTTCAGTTGTATCTTCTTCTAGCATAAATTTTCATATGGCCAGGCGGGTATCGTTTTCGGAAGTTCAGCGAAGAATCGAGTTTTAAGCGGTAAGTATTTATAGAGATCACAACACAGAACGTTCTAGTAATTGCACAATTGAGTCCTCAGAGGCACCTAGGACCTTTGATCTCTTCACCGTTGCCACCAATGTTATACTGGGCTTCACGAAATGTCTTTTGAAAAAACTATTTAGAAATTACTACTGGATTTTATTATAGAATGACACAAATTTGGAATTGTAATTGAGAGGCGAGTATTTCGGATGAGAGTGTATGATGGACTGCGCGGTATTGCTAGTGTTGAAATAAGAAAGTACCGAAGCTACTAAGAGAGTGCTGACTGTGTGCTTTGTGTCAGCGGATCCCTATTAAAAGGGAATCTATAACAGTACGATATTAAAATACCACAAAAGCAACTCGTCGACGCAAATTAATGGTAATCGAAGTTAAGTTAATCACTCAAAACTATTACAACAAGAATTATAATAAGACAAGCCTCGTTGTCACGTAAAACGCACGAGATTAGACAACGCTATTCAGAGGCGGTTCCGAGCGTAAATTTTACACCGTCTAACCGACACGGCGGTCGCGCACAAGTCGAGCGACCGAGCGGTCACCCGAGAGCCGCTCGCGGGAGAGGGGGCCGGCGGTGACCTTTAAATTCCATAGGAAGGACACGCCGAGACGCGCGTCTTGAACGCAAGATTTTAAAATGTTAATATTTGGCCTAAACATAAATTAAGAGTCACACTTCTTTTAAGATATTCTCATTAAAACTGTAATTATTGTGTGGAACCTCTAATTATTGTGTGGAAGAATTAATTCTAAGGAAAAATATTAAATTTTAATTGTTTTGCTTACAAAGAAGTTTATATTATACTATATTATTTAGAATCTATATTATAATACACTCAGCGTCACAAAAATCGCACCTCTCTGAGTTTACGCGAAAAATGGCTGTAATGGCTAGAAACGAATTATATTTATATAAATATTGGTATGTTTGAAATGGGTATTTGAATAGCTTTACATTATTAATAAAAAAATCATGAAATCATTAAAACATTTATCATTATAGAGCGTCAAAAATAAACACTGTCAAATGCTCGTTAGTAAGGACGCTAGTTACACCACCTAAAAGGGTATAAAAGGGTCGATCTGGATGAAATATGGGTCAGTCGTAATTTAGACTTTGCAGTGAACACACGTGAACAAGTAACCCAAGTAAGAACAAGTAAAGATGGACACCAGCTCTGAAGAAGCCGCTCAAGTGATTGCCCTATTACAGTCGGGGATGCGGCAGTGTGACGTTGCTCGACAGTTGAACCTGTCCCGTTTTTCAGTTCGACGGGTTTTCCAACGTTTTCAGCAGACTGGTGGTTATGTTAGAAAACCGGGATCTGGAAGAAAACGGTGCACATCAGAAAGAGATGACCGTTTCATCGTTACGACATCTTTACGAAACCGTTTTACAAATGCTGTTGAGTTGCAACAACAGCTTCGATCAACTCGGAGAACATCTGTGAGTGTTTCTACGATAAGAAAAAGGTTACACGAAAAGAGTTTAACAGCCCATAGACCTGCTAAAGGTCCAAAACTTACTGCACAGCATCGCAGAGATCGCCTAGTTTGCTCGCAATCATTGCGAGTGGACTCTAGATCAGTGGCGGACCGTACTCTTCTCTGATGAGACGAGGGTCTGTCTCTTCTGCAATGACAGACGTAGAAGGGTCTACAGAAGACAGGGAGAGAGGTTCACAGAACCCTGCTTCGAAGAATCCGTCGAATACGGGGGTGGCTCGTGTATGTTTTGGGGCGGCATTTCCGTCGACGGGAAAACGGAACTTGTGTGCGTTTCCCGGACTCAGGGTGGCCGTGGGCAAGGGTCATTAAATGCTGGTCGGTACATTACTGAAATCCTGGAGGAACATGTGGTCCCGTATGCTGGTTATGTCGGTGATGGATTCATGTTAATGCATGATAATGCTCGTTGCCACACCGCGGCTATTGTACGGGATTATTTACAGGAGGTCGATGTCCCTGTTATGCATTGGCTAGCACGAAGTCCAGACCTTAACCCAATAGAATATCTCTGGGATGACCTAAAACGGCGCGTGCGAGCTCGAGATGCAGCTCCAACCACTCTTCAAGAGCTCCAAGATGCGGTACTTGAAGAGTGGGAACAAATACCCCAAGAGGCTGTTGCGACCCTTGTAAGGCCCATGAAAGATCGCATGGAAGCCGTTATCAAGGCAAGGGGGGGGGGGTAACACTAGGTTTTAAGAACTTTTTTTGTATTTATTAAGTTTTTTTTAAATTATTAATTTGCAAATTTGTACATACTCTGTCTTTTTCTTTAATTTCTCTTTCGTCTCGTTATAAAAGTAAAATTCAATTAAAATTCCTGAAAGCTAATGAAATTACCTTTCGAATGATACCCTCAAACCACAACATTATTGGCCTGTACTATTGGCCTGTTGTGTTAAAATAGTATTTAAATAATTTTTTTCGGATGTGCGATTTTTTTGACGCCGAGTGTGTTTATGTGGCTATAGTGATTGAATACCAAATATTCAGAGATAATTAGGGAATAGGTACATATTGTTTCAAGGATGTAAGGTAATAATGAATACATAGAAGCTAGCTTAAGATTGTGTTATGATTGTTATTTTTTAAAGTTCATAAAGTTTTTTGAATTTGAATTTATAAAGCTAACGTGGTAGTTAGCTTAAATTTTCAAACTGGAATAATAATAGATATTTTAGAAATAAGTACAAAAAGTAGGTGATACAAAATTGTGCTAAATTTACTGTTTTTGATTTCATTTTGTGCCAAATTAGAAAGTAAAAGACCTAAAATATAAAAAAATGTTTTATTATTTTATCTAATACAGACGAAATACATAAGAATGTTAAATATTTAGGTAGATATTTGATAAAATACAGACTTATTACAAAATGTGACATCAGTACTAGAATGATATATAATCGGCTTTAATAGTAAATAGACTTTGTCTGTATACATGATTTGTGTTTGTATACATGATTTTTAAACGTTTAAAAAAATAATTAAAAACCAAAATTTCTTCTAAATATCACTTGTGCAACAATAATCCGTTCATCAAGTATTCCTACAATATATTATTTCATGTTTTAGACTATTATGTAAGAAAGACATGATTACCAAAACTTTTTATGCCATTTCAAAACAGTTTTTTTTAGTTATGTCAGTATATTATTAAGCGTGCGATGTCTCCTGCTGCTGCCCTGCCTGCAGTCAGCTACGGAATTGTACCTTTATAGTTTCACTACTTGCAATAAATAAACTATACGTAAGTTTGTTCATACACGATTTGGACATATTAAAAATGATTGAGAAATATTAGAAGAAGCTAGATAGTAGAAGTTGGAAAAATAACCAGACCTTTTCATTTATGGCCCTATTTTTTATCTGTGCAAATACTTTAATGTGAATTCACATTTTAGTCTAATACATATAATTAAGGCATTTTAATTCCCACAGAACTCCCAACATTTAACGAGTTCCCTAAAACCGTTTAAATTAAACAGTTAAAATAAAAGGAAATAAGCAGAACCACAAAAGTCAAACGGTTTATCTTTTATTGAATAACTTAAGCATCAAAAGTTCGTGATATTGACGAATTCAAACAACGATATAATTGTTCATATAATTTACAATGTGATGCGACGCCGCCTGCAACGCTCTGGAAGTGACATGTTATGTTTTGTACCTGAAACAGTACACATAATATTAATATTATATATATATATATATATATATATATATATATATATATATATATATATATATATATATACTAGCTGTTACCCACGACTTCGCCCGCGTGGAGTTAGTTGTATAGGAATGTAGAAGTGTTGTTTTTAGATTTTTTCAGGCAATTTTTTTAAATTTTTCTCTTCGTAAGACCAGTCTTCGAACTTCAAGGAATATTATAAAAAAAATTATTAGCGAAATCGGTACAGCTGCTCTCGAGATTTGCGCTTAGCAACACATTCAGCATTTCATAATCTTAAATATAATTTAGTGTATCAGTCAGTTCGAGGGTAGTGTCAGTGTGGATGATCTGGAGTCCATAAATAAATAATAGGTCGGGAAAAAGTTTCTTCGTATTTTCTTTGTATAAAATTAAAGAAAAATCTCTTTGGTTGTGTACTCTTTATATTTGTCTGGTTTTAATATCAATAAATATGGTCGTTCATGTTAATTAACAATGATTTATATAATATTGTATTTTAATGGCAACACTGCGTCGGTTGTCAACACTGTGTCTGTTAAGCGTTTCCCACACACAAGCGGCTTGCGGTGGCGGCTAACCGCGGGCCGCGGCTCCAGCCGCTGCAACAACATAACACCGCGGCCGGAATGGCGGCCTGAAGCGCCATTCGCGGTGGTGTCTGTGCTACGATCGGACGTCAGTAAACATGACAAACCGTGGCGAAGTTTTATTATATTCAGCAATATTATCATATATTTTGTTTTTAATCCTAATGCTTTTGTGATCACGATGCGAATTATCATAAAGTACAGGATAATTTTGCACTGTTTCTATTAAAACCTCTGAATTTAGCACCATTTTTCACGCGGTACACGCGGCCTGTTGTAAAAATTTACAACTGACCGCGCTGCGGCCATTGACTGACCGCGTACTCGCTAACATACACGCGTTGGCAAATGGGGCGGAGCATACAGCCGCGGCCAGCCGCTGACAGGACGCGCCATGGCCGCATGAGTTTACAGACTCACTTACATTGCAAGCGAATACAACTGGCCGCCACCGCGGCCGCTACCGCAAGCCGCGCCTGTGTGGGAGACGCTTTATGAAGGAATATGATGTTATAGGCTCTCCATGTTGTTGTTTTGAGGTTAATAAAAAGCACGTTTTATGTTCAAAGTATTATATCTTTAATTATCCCCATAATCCTTAACAGGGTTATGGGCACAGTACGGCCATCAATTTTATAGTGGATTAATAAGTGTTAAAGGACAGGAAATGTCAAAAGAAAAATATCAAATTGTCCCATTTGCGGGGGACAATTACAACGCATGGGAGTTTCGATTAAAAATTATCCTGCGGGATAATGGAGCAATAGAGGCGATCGAAAAGGAGGATTTCAGTAAATCTACGGATAACAAGCAATTGCAATTGGAAGCTAAAGCCCAGGCTATCATAATAGCGGCAACCGCCGACAGTCACCTCGAATACTTAAAGGACAGATCTGCTTATCAAATGATTAAAAGCATGGAAGACAGCTTTAAGAAGAAAGGCACACGATCTAAATTATTTATACGAAGAGAGTTGTCCGATATGAAATTCGACGAACAGAAACCTTTAATGGAACATTTTATTGACATGGAAAAACTATTTGCACAACTCGGGGATGCTGGCAGTGAGCTCTCGGAGGAAGAAAAGGTTAACTATTTACTCCTATCCATGCCGAAATCTTATGAAGGCATTATCACGGCTTTGGAAACTGTTGAGGAATTGAAAATGGACTTCGTAAAAAACAGACTGCTTGGGGAAGAGGAAAAACGGAACAGAGGAGCGACCAAATCCCTTGACTCTTCAATCTTCTTGTGTTATGGATGTGGACGCCCCGGACACAAAAAATCCCAGTGTAGAAGCACTCAGCAGGCACGACACAGGACTGGCGACTGGAGACTTCACGGCCGTGGACGTAGCGACTGGAAGTACAACGGAAGCCGAGACGACAGTAAGGCAACTCGTCATCAGACGCAGGGGAGAGATAGAGGAAAGTCATTTCTTACAGGCACTGAAAATATTGAAGGTAACAAATTTGTAAGTTTTATGTCCTTTAGCCCTGACACCGAACAGCAGAATAAAAATAGTTTTAAATGGGTTGTTGACTCATGTAGTTAATTTCATCTTGTAAATGACATTAGTTTATTCTTTAATTATTGTAAACTGGATAAGCCAATTAAAATTTCAGCTGCCAAAAATGGCGTTGATTTAGAGGCTGTTGGTGTAGGAACAATAAAATGTTATTTAAGTGATTTTAAAGTTGATATTATATTAAATGATGTGTATTATGTACCACAATTAAGAAAAAATTTATTATCTGTTTCCAAAATGGAAAAGCATGGTTTAAAGATCATCTTCAAAAAAGGGGAAGTTAAAGTTTTCTCACAAACCAATGAATTGCTTATGGTTGGGCATAGACTAGGGTCCCTTTATTTTGTAGAATTTAAAGTAATATTTAATGATTGTTATTATGGTGCAAAATCAGACACCAATGATAATTCAGTAGAAATTTGGCACAAACGATTTTCTCACTTAAGCTATAGTAGTTTGAAAACTTTAGTAAATAAAAATATGATTGATGGTTTAACTGATTTGAAAGAAAAAAATTTAGAAAATAGGCATTGTGAACCATGCATACTTGCTAAGATTACACGCCTTCCGTTTAATGGGAAAATGTATAAGGCTAGGAAACCCTTAGAACTGGTACATACCGATGTTTGTTCTGTTAGCCCTTCTAAGTGGGACGGGTATAAACACTTTGTTACTTTCATAGACGATTTTACCCACTTCACCGCAGTTTACTTATTAAGAGACAAGTCTAAGGTTTTTGAATATTTTAAGACTTATTATAATTATGCTAGTAATAATTTTGGTCATGGTATATTGAAGTTAAAATCAGATAATGGTGGTGAGTATATTTCTAGAAATTTTAAACCCTTTTGTGATGAAAAAGGCATAGTATTGCAGTATACTGCTGCATATAATCCCGAAACGAACGGAGTAGCTGAAAGAATGAATCGTACTCCGACTGAAAAGGCGCGTGCATTATTGTTAGATTCACAGCTTCCTAAAGAGCTTTGGGGCGAGGCCCTGCGATATGCGGTATATGTCACTAATCGTAGTCCCACTGCTTCCCTTAATGTTACACCATTTGAAATGTGGGAGGGAAGACGTCCTAATGTGTCTAATTTTAGAATATTTGGGTCATCTGCATATGCCCATATTCCCCAAAAACTCCGAATGAAGTTGGACCCTCGTGGTGTGAAATTGAAAATGGTTGGATATGCTCCGGGCGGATACAGATTATGGGATGCTAATGAAAGGAAGATACGCATAGAACGAAACGTATTGTTTAGGGAAGAAACATTTTTAGAGTCCCCTGAAACGATTAGTATTGACGTGGAGTCTATCTCGGATGGGAAGGAGAAGGATGGTGGTAGTAGTCCTGAGAAAATCAAAACCCCTTTAATTTCTGATTTAGAGTCATTACAACCTGAGGGAAGGGATACAGATAATGTTAATTCTAGGGAGAAAAGAAAGAAAACTAAACCAAAATATTTACAAGATTTTGTCACTGATGATTCAGATTTAGGTGATATATTAATGGCATCATTTTTATCTTGTTCTAATGGTAATGTCCCAGAAAAGTATAATGATATAGATTCTTATGACGATAAAGTTAGGTGGTAAGAAGCGGTAAATGAAGAAATTAAATCTTTAGGGGATAACAAGACTTGGGAAGTTGTAGAAAGATCAAATGATGCTAAGTTAATTGATTGTAGATGGATTTTTACAAAAAAGGCGGGTAATGTATATAAAGCTAGATTAGTTGCAAGGAGGTTTCAACACGAAGGTAGTTTTACCGAAATTTATTCTCACGTTTTGAAATTACAAACTCTCCGAGTTCTTTTATCATTACCTGTTCAAAGGAACTATTTAATTCATCAAATGGATGTTAAAGGTGCTTTCCTTCATGGTGAAATTGATGATGTTGTATACTTAAAGCCCCCACCTGGTGTAAATATAAATACAAATTATGTCTTGACATTAAAAAAATCTTCAAAAAATTGGTACAATAAATTTTATGATTTTATGAAAAGTAAAGGGTTTCAAAGAGCAGAAAGTGATTATTGTTTATATTTTAAGGATGGTATTTACATTTTGTTGTATGTGGATGATTTATTAATTTTAGGTGAGGACAATTCAAGGATAAATAATGTTAAAGAAATTTTAAGCACAGAATTTAAAATGAAAGATCTAGGATCTAAAAATTTAAAGTATCTGGGTATAAATGTGTGCTGCTGTTTCATATTTAGCAAGATATCAATCTAGACCATCAGAAAGGTTATGGCAATGCTTGAAAAGGATTTTAAGATACATTAAGGGTACCATTAATTATAATTTAAAATATAATAAGAATTGTAATTCCGAACCACTAGTTCGATATGCTGATGCTAGTTTTGCTGTAGATAAAGATAGGAAATCTATAACTGGTTATGTATTTAAAGTATTTTAAAACTATTAGTATGTAAAACTATAGTATGTTAAGAAAACGGCAGACTTATGGGGGATTTCCGTTAGTTATTTTATCTATAATAGATATATTAGCACTTTATCTAGCCACTATATTTAATATAAGCGTCGAATCTGGTGTTTCCTGATTTAATGAAACATAGTAAAGTCATACCTGTATTTAAATCTGGTAGTACATTAGACTCCGCCAATTTTAGACCAATTTCTGTACTACCAACATTAAGTAAAATTATTGAAAAAATTATTTTAAATCAGATGTTAAGTTTCTTTAATATTAATAAATTGCTACATAAAAATCAATTCGGTTTTACAAGGGGTCGCTCGACAACTGACGCTGGAGTTGAGCTTATTAAACATATTTTTGTGCATGGGAGAATTCAAAGGATGCTTTGAGTATATTTTGTGACCTTTCGAAG